TTTTTTTTTCTTTGGGAAGATGAGAAGAGGGGGTGGAGTAGGGTGGTGGGCCGAGTTTTTTTTCCAGTTTATGACACGTGTCAGATGTCGATTGGCGCGTGTAATAGCAATATTTAAGTAGATGTGGTCAAATATCGAAGTGGTTTGTAATTGACACACTTTTAAAAAAATTTAGTGTGCAATACTATTCCCGTATTTAACGTTATATGCAATATATATATATTTTATTTCCTTTTTGTGTTTGTTTATATAGAATCCAAAATTCCATAGGCTTCTCTCCCCAAAATCTATCCTTTAACCTAAACACAAATGTCCATTTTCTACATAAAACCTTCTTCTTCTCTTCTTCAGAACAGTCTCCAAACCCCACATTACTCTCTACACTCTCCTTCTTCCTCTTTTCTCTCTGTTTCTATTAAAACTCCAAAATGAAAAAATTGCTACAAATATTTACATGCAAAAAACTCTAGAAATCTTTTTCTCTTGAAAAAAAATTCAAACTTGTAAAGATGGGATTTTGATTAAAGGGTTTTAATAGCAAAGGCTGTTTTTTTTTTTGGCTTCGTTTTCAATTAATGGCTGAAAACAGCAATAATGGCTGTGTAGCCTCAAACCTACTTTTTTGTACAGAAACTAAGAGTAGTCTTTATTTTGATGATCTTGATTTTGACCAAAAAACAGTTCAAGAAAACAGTAAAGTTTTGAGCTTTAATAACTATGGCAAATCAGAGACATTATTGGTTGAATTATTTCCAAGTTTAAGTGACGAAACCTTTGGTTTTATGTTGAAAAGGGAAAAAGATTTTTGTCCTAAAGATGATTATCTTAAGAGGTTGAGAAATGGTGACTTGGATTTGAATGTTAGAAGAGAAGCTCTTAATTGGATTTGGAAGGTTATTATTGGCTTTTTTTTTTTCTTTTTTTGATCATAATTTTATGTTAATTGTTTTGATGGTACTAATATATTGTGCCATTCTCTTCTGTCCTTTCCGTCTTCTTGAATCGAGTTTCTTTTGAAAACCGGTTCTCTACTCATTAGGGGTAGGGTTAAGGTCTGCTTACAGCCGTACACATTATACTCCTTAGACCCCACTCGTCGGATTTTTTGGGAGTGATTGTTATTGTTGTAATTTTATGTTAATTCTTGATTGGTCATTAGGAAAAAGTTTGAAAATTTAGGACTTTATATTCCATTTTAAACAACTCTATGTTTGCATTAATACCATCTTATTGTTTTACCCTTTTTTTTGGTAAATGCTAGTTTTCTCATTGAGTTCCTAGTTTTTTCCTGAAAATGGAGTTTTTTTAAATATCTGATGTCATTTTCTTTGGTTTTTGTATTTTTCTTAGGAATTTACTTGAAAATGACATTGATTAGTGGGACATAATTAGGCATCCATTGACTGATTTTAACAAACAAGAGTAAAATGTACACCTTTTATTGTGATTTTTCTGAATTAGTATTATTAATTTTTGATTTTGTTTTTGTGTGTTGCAGGCTCATGTGCATTATGGATTTGGAGAGCTGAGTTTTTGTTTGTCAATAAATTACCTTGATAGGTTTCTATCTTTGTATGAATTGCCAGTAAGTCTACTTTATATAATTTGTCTTACACTTTGTTTCTTTATGTTTGAACTTTTCACTATTGGTTGTTTTTCTACATTCTGCTAAATTGTTTTTTTTTTACCTTGGATTTACAGGGAGGTAAAACTTGGACAATTCAATTGTTAGCTGTTGCTTGTTTATCCCTTGCAGTTAAAATGGAAGAGATTAATGTTCCCTTGACTGTTGATTTACAGGTGAATAAAAATATACATTCAAGAACTTGTTTTGTTAATATTTATATGATTAAGGTTTCTTGAATCAGAGTAAAGCGTACTCTGGTGCACTAAGCTCCTGCTATGCGCGAGTTCCGCGAAAGGGCCGGACCATAAGGTTGTTTTGCCCGCATACCTTGCATTTTTGCAAGAGTCGGTTTCCACGGCTCGAACCGGTGACCTCCTGGTCACATGACAATAACTTTACCGGTTACGCTAAGTATCCCCGCTCCCCTTCATTCTCTTGGATTAGAGTGTTTGTAGTAAATCTTGAGTTTTTTTTTTTGGACAGGTTGAGGAGCCTAAGTATTTATTTGAAGGTAAAACAATACAAAGGATGGAGCTTATGGTATTGAGCACATTGAAATGGAGAATGCAGGCTTATACACCTTGCAAATTCATTGATTATTTTATGAGAAAGATGAATGCTGATCAAATCCAATCAAGGCAATTGATTTCTAGATCAATGCAACTAATATTAAGCACAATAAAAGGTTTTTACTCTCACCACATTCTTTTTGATTTCTAGATCAATGGTACAATTGAATTCAAATTGTACCATTTTTTGGTCCTTAGGATCATTTAAGTGTTTGATTCAGTCTTTGGTTGGGAAAATTGAATGCAGGTATTGACTTCTTGGAATTCCGGCCTTCTGAAATTGCTGCAGCAGTGGCAATGTCTGTTTCTTTAGGGGAAAGGCCACAAGCAAAAGACATTGATAAGGCAATGCCTTGCTTCTCCAAACAAGTAGAAAAGGTGAAAATTTTTGGTTGGTGCCCCATGTTATAAAATTCTTGATTCTTGTCCCCCACCCCGACTTTGGACGAGTGGAAAGAGTACAACACGTGATGCATAGGTTAGGCGCATGTCATAGATTTGGACGCAACGACACACAAAAGCCATTAGTATTTAAGTCGAAAAGGGAAAAAAGGCAATATCATTATCCATCGCGTTTCGAACCCTGCACCGTAGCTCCCCGGGGATTTCTTGATTAAAAAAGAGAGCATCATGAGTCTTTGTACGCGGTTTTACCCTGCACCAATGTTTCCCTACCTGGGATTTCTTGATTATCACATCAAATAAAATAAAAAAGCCTCTTGATTCTTGATGCATTAAAAATTACCAACTTGTTTTTATTTATTTATTTTAAGTGGGGTTTAATTTTTTTAATTTTCTGTGATTTTACAGGACAGAGTGATGAAGTGTCTTGAGTTGATTCAAGATTTGACATTGGTTAGTGGGACTAGTGCTACCACTACTGCAGCAGCTGCTGCATTAGTACCTCAAAGTCCCAATGGGGTGTTAGAAGCTGCATGTTTGAGCTATAAAAGTGGTGAAGGAACAGTTGGCTCGTGTCCAAATTCATCACACAGTAATAGTCCAGATGCTAAAAGGAGGAAACTTGACACAACATCATCCATTTCTTGAGGGGACTAGAGGGAAAAGAAGTCATGAAAATCTGAATTTTTTTAACCCCTTAATGGAAGATTTATTGTGTGGCTTTTAAAAGTCAGTCGCAGACAAAAGCAAATTTGAAAAAGAGAGAAAAGGGTGGAAAAATAGGGAAGGTCCCATGCTTTTAGCATGAAAAGAATTGTCACCAGCTGTTAATAATAATAATATCCTGAGTTGTCAACAACCATAGTAATAGGAGGTTGAGGAGAAGGATGGAGTTTTGTTTTATTTTATTTTATTTTACCATTTTTTGGGTTATTATTTTAATTTCAAAATGAAAAAAAATATAGAAAAGGTTGGGATAGGGAGGAGGCTGAAGAAAAAAAAAAGGAAGGATAGAGGATTAAGTAGTATAGTTAGTGGAGGATATTAAATGGTGGTATTGTTTTATTATTGCTATTTTGTAGTGAAATTTTGATGTATTTTAATGGCACTCCATATGCTTATTTCTTGGAGTAGCCATGTAGATGAGGTGTTATGGAATAAAACTTCCAAAAAAAAGGCCTTGTGCTCTTCATTTTTGTTAATGATGGTGCATTGTGTTCAGGGTGTTCGGTCAGTACGGTACGATATTTAAATATTTTGGTTTGGTATTTTCGGTATTTGATTTTGTAAAATGCTATTCCAATATCGTATATAACTAAATTCGGTATGGTTCGATTTTTCTCCTTTCGGTTTCGATTTATTTGATTTGGTAACTTCGACGGTATTATTCTTAATTAAAGTACTCGAAAGTACAAAACTAAAAACGTTTGTTGATAAAAGTTTTGTCCAAAATTAACAAATATCAACCCAAAGAGAAAAAACTATATATAAAAAAATAAATTTGATCATTAGAAATGTCTTGTTACTAGTAAGAGTTATTGATGAATTTAGAGAATAAAGGAAAGTAAAATTTAAGATGTCTTATATTTATGTTATAACTAATAATATGTGAATTGTACAATATAATATATATTTCGGTACGACGTTTGGCAATAGATTTTGTCAAAATAAATTTGGATTTTATTTGGCAAACACGTGTTTGACCATAGATTTTGCCTACATTTTGGCAAAATTCCAAACCCCAAATTAGCTCAGTAGTTGGTTTTGAGCCAAAATATATACAAACACTAAGCTAGTGTTTGACCATAGATTTCCAAATTTATTTTGAAAAATTTGATTTGGGTGAAGTTTGGTTTGAAGATAAAAATGTGTTTAGATATACGTTTTCAAAACATATTTCCCAACTTTATTTTAAAAAAATATGTATATAATTTCCATGTTTTGGAATTTTGGCCCAAAATCAGCAATTGGGGTGATTTTGGGATTTGGGGTTTGGGATTTTGCCAAAATATGAGCAAATTTTATGGCCAAACATGAGTTTGCCATGGCCAAACTAGTCCTAATAATATACATGTTTTTCCAAAATAAATTTGGAAAATATGTTTTGAAAACGGATGTCTAAACACATTTTCATCTTCAAACCAAATTTCATCCAAATCTGAGTTTTCAAAATAAATTTGAAAAGACGAAATATATAAACAACCCCTTCAAATTGTCTTCAACGACCAGCGGAACACCTCAACTGATCCATTTACCATTTAGACACTTCAAGTGACTATTAAGTGTATCAAGTAAACACCTCAGGCCCACATGGCAAGTTACGTGTATTTTAGTTTCATTTGGGCGCGTGAGACTTTTATCAGATGTTTTCTCTCTTGTATTCAAAATTAAATTACATTTTGTATGTGGGTCCCACGCTATATCATTATATTTTCCTCTAACCTTTTTTACCCAACTAGTTCAGGCTTCTTCTTCCTCATAAGCACTGTTGAAACAAAATTCCGGCCACTGTTCCGGTGAAGGTTCCACTACTTCATTTTTCCCCCTCTATTTCTTCTATTTTTCTCTTCTACTAATTATAGGAAAAATCAAGAACTCGAAAATTCAAAGACTAAAAAGTGACGCCAAATCTAGTGGTCTTCAAGGTTATCCATGGCTAAAGAAGTTATCACAGGCAGTGTTGAAACAAATTTTGAAGAGGTGTTCAAGTTGAGGCATCCAACTAGAGATTTTGTTTCTTGAGGCAGAAAGATTCAAACAATCTCATTTGCTTGGAGAATAATTTTTCGATAATGGAGGTCGCATAATCCGGCGAGGTCAATTAATGATCCCTTGGTGGGTTCTCTTTTTGACTATTCTCTGTTATTTCATATTGGTTTAAATATTAATTTGTTGGGGGAAGGAATTTAAGAAAAGGAGATGGAGGACATGACTGATGCAAAGAAGAAGATGAAAGGGAGGGGGAATGGGGAGGGCGGAAGGGGAAAGGGGGTGGGGTAGTGCTGGTGAGGGTTTTTATTTAATTTTTAATGTATTTTTTTTTAATTATGTGGCAATTTTTTATTCCAATTTACACTTGTCATTTTTTAATTAGCACATTTGATACATCATTGGCAAGTGTATTCACGCATAGAGTCTTCAGCACTCGGGTGTTTACTTGATACACTTAATAGTCACTTGAAGTGTCTAAATGGTAAACGGATCAGTTGAGGTGCTCAGCTGGTCGTTGAGGACAACTTGAAGGGATCGTTTATGTATTTCGCCCTTTGAAAATCTATGGCCAAACGCTAGCTAATTTTTTTTTTTAAACTTAAACTAAATACCATACCAAATATCAAAATATCAAATACCGAATACCAAATTTTTTGATTTTGGCACGATAACTCCGTATTTACTAAGTTATGCACGACCCTAATTATGTTAGTGCAAAATGAATCTCCATTACTACTTGTTATCAAAGTCATTTTGGCCATCTTATTATTTAAGTGTTGTTATATTTCTTTTTGTTTACTCCCTATTACAAATTTATTATTCACAAAATTCGAACTCGAAACTGTAATTAAGAGCGGAAGAATCACAACAATCGAACTACTTCCTTTGACTAATATTCTACACGATGTCTGCATCATAAATTGTTACCAAAATTTGTAGAGATAATACATAAATTACCCATCAAATTTGTCCGAAAAAATTATTTACACACTTTAACTTTATTATCGACCTATGTCCCCCCTATTCTTATTTGGGGTGAATTTAAGACCACCCTAAATGGTGACGTGGCAAAGAGAGTAGCTTCACTCTCCCAATCTCGCGTGTAAGAGGGAAATTTTTTTACTGCGTGGGTCCCTTTTCGTTTACTTCTTCTTTTCTTATTTTTTTTTTCTGTTTTTGTTTTCTCTCTCCACGTTTTCTTCTTCCTCTCACAATTGCAAAACTCATTTTTTTTAACAAAATATTGTTTTTATAAAAACATATTTGTAAAAACTGATTTTTTTTATAGAAACAGAATTTTTTTTTTCAATTTTTAGTAAAATATTTTCGTTTTTTAAAAACTGAAAAAAAATATTTTCAACAAATTATTTTCGCTTTTGAAAAAAGTTTTTTTTCTTCATTTTTCAGGTTTTTAAAGATTTTTTTTTTGTAAAAACAGAAAAAATCATTTTTTAACAAAATATATTTGTTTTTTAAAAACTGAAAAAATTATTTTCAATAAAATATTCGTTTTTGAAAAATATTATTTTTATTTTTTCAGTTTTTTAAAAGAATTTTATTTTTAAAAACTGGAAAAACAAATTTGTAAAAACTATTTTTTTTAAAGAACTGAAAAAAATCGTTTTTAACAAAATATCTTTGTTTTTTAAAAACTGAAAAAATTATTTTCAACAAAATATTTTCGTTTTAGAAAAATATTATTTTTATTTTTTCAGTTTTTTAAAAGAATTTTATTTTGTAAAAACTAGAAAAACAAATTTGTATTTTTTGTTTGTTTGTAAAAACAGAAAAAAAAATCGTTTTGAGCAGATATTAACACGTGGCGCGCGTGTACTATACACCCCACCACAAGACTAACTAAGTGTTACCAATACAACAACAACAACAACAACAACAACCCAGTATAATCCCACTTAGTGGGGTCTGGGGAGGGTAGTGTGTACGCAGACCTTACCCCTACCCTGAGGTAGAGAGGCTGTTTCCAAATAGACCCCCGGCATCCTTCCCTCCAAGAACTTCCCACCTTGCTCTTGGGGAGACTCGAACTCACAACCTCTTGGTTGGAAGTGGAGGCTGCTTACCATCAGAGCAACCCCTCTTGTCTTAAATTCACCCAAACAAGAATAGGGGGGGACATAGGTCGCCCGTAATGTTAAGGTGTGTAAATGATTTTTCCGGACAAATTTGATGGGTAATTTATGTATTATTTCAATTTTGTAACCAAGGAAAAGAAAATTCTAAGAAACGCATAAAACCACTAAAGGATGTGGTGCAGTGGATGAAACTGCTCCTCCCTTAACCAGAATTTTCGGGTTTGAACACTGAGAATGGAAAAATCCTTGGTAGGGAGCGCTTCCCCCCGAATGGGGCCCTACACAATGCGAATTCGGATATAGTCGGGCTCCAATGCAGGTATCAGACACCGGGTGGGAAATCAAAAAAAAAAAAAACGCATAAACGATGCCGTAACATCTACGAACTACGACGTCGTTTACCTGTTTTCTGGTAATGATTACTACCTCTTTTGTACTGTTTGGGGATCTGAATTGGCAATATTGGGCCACGAGCTTTGGCCCACATCCGTTTCGTTTGACCATATTGCTACGTGTCATCATTCCAACTCACCTTGAATAAAATATATTTTAATTTTTTTTCAACTTTTCTTTTGGCCAATTACTCTTTACTACAAGTTTACAACTATAATTTTCTTCCACTTTTACAAATTATAAGGCGTTCTAGATAATTTTTCTTATACCCCTTGAGTTTAAGGAAGAACAAACATAAAACAGAGAATTTTAGTGCTATTTGTACATTATGTTTCTTTATAATTTTAAAACTAAAAAAAAATAATTTTTTTATATCTCTTATATGTAAAAGATTAAAATTTTACATCCTATCTCAAACAACCAACAAATTACATAATGGTAAAAATTTATTCGTATTAAGTGTTTATACAAATTTAATGAATCTTTTTTATTTGATAGGTATAATATGAGTCTAATAATCACCTATGCTTTAAATGAAACAAAACGGAATAAATGGCGTATCTCTTTCTCTGTGTTTTTTATTTATTTTGTATTAATTAATCCAGTTCTTACAACTTGTTTGGATGGTTGTTACCTATTATATCGTATTATTACTTTAAACTAGTAAATTTATTTCGCGCTTTGCGCGATTTAAAAGAAAATAAAAATAATAAAAATGAGTGCGATAACTTTAAGAATTGATATAATAATTGAAACTTAACACAATTATGGACTAAAGAAAAAGGATTACTGAGAATAGTGCCGTTGCTAAGACCAAACAAAAGAAAATCTTTTCTAATCTAAGAATTGATACAATTAACTCAAGCGTAACATGGTAACGGATTGATACAAAAGAGAATATCTCATCTAACTTAAGAATTAATACAATTAACTCAAGCCTAAAAATTAACGAATTAAATTTAAATAGATTATTAAAAGATACTACCTTGGATGTTAAGATTGATTGTTCTCCAAACCCTTCTT